AAGAGCAGATATAATTTGAAGCGGGGGGACATCGCTACCCCGTACAGAGAGAGAGCGCAGCGCTACTCTTGCCTCAGCGCGCGCGGTAGATACCCCACGCTGGGAGGCTTCGCCAACAGGCCCGGCGCAGAGTCGAGCGGCGAAACGTCGCGCAAGCGCGCGGCGCTACCCCACGCCACTGGCGGTGTGCAGGGACGCGCCCGACACACAAGTGGGGGGAAATGACCTTGCGGTCCCTGCAACACACAACCAGGGCATTAGTGAGGGGCAAAACAAGTCCGGAGAAGCAAGGCATGTCAAGTGCAAATAAATGGTGATAAAAAACACACTCAACTTAAAAGTTTCTCCAGTAGCTTGATGATGAGATGGCGGGTCCCTCCTTTCAATCTTGTCCGTCTAGAAGGCTCGCTTGGCCTCTCTGGCGCAGAAGGGGGTCTCGGGGGGCGCATGGAACAGCGCCGCGATGATGCCGCATGGCCCTTGTTGCACAAAGCACACCAGCGAATGTCAGTCTTACAGTCAGTAACACGGTGGTCACCACCACACTTACGGCACCGAGGGGGCGCTGTGCAGGTCTTGGATGTGTGGGCTGCGTCCGTAGTCCACTGCTGGCACCGATAACACTGCTTGGGCCGGGCGGCGGGCGGGGTCGTCTGCTTCTGCTTGGAGCGGGGGGAGGAGTGGCGGCGGCGGCGGCCCCGGCTCCCGGCCGGCTGGGCGGCGGGTGGAGAGGGGGGCTGCGTCTGAAGCGCACGCTCGCATGACGTCACTGCATCGGTTTGGGACGCGACGTCGATCTTGGGGGGCGGGTCGGGTCCGCGCGGGGCAGGGCGCGGCAGGGCCTTACCGTCAGGGTAGTCACCCTCGCAGCAGAGGACTAAACGTGTCCGAAAGGACACCCCTCCGACGATAAGCCCACGAGTGAGCACAGAGCCCAACATGTCCAAGTCACACTTCAACACCACTTTGAGGTTCCTGTGACTCACCGTTGAGTAGAGGCTTTCCATGATGTGGTCATTGCATTCCGGTTCAATTTCTTGCTCAACGGCTTCAAGGACGTTCGCTTCAGCATGTTGAACGAGGGCGTCGAGAATGGCTTCTTTGCTGATGAAATCCGGGACCGCGTCGACAACAATTGTTCTCTGGGTGTCCCGGGGCTGGTAGGAGAAGAACATCACACCGTCGCGGGGCGCTGGAAGGTCAATAGAGGCGCACCAGTCGGCAAGATTGTCGATGTCCTCGTCGAGCTCCTCGGGCCATACCATGTGTCCGTACGGAGATGGGACGTGCTTCTTGATGTGCGGAAACTGCATGGTAGACATTTGCGCAACAACTGCTTTCACAAAATCTTCATCTGAAGTCAGCAGCACGGGCCTTTGGTTGTCGGTGAAGGCCCAGGAAACTTTTGAGTACGGCCCAAGTTGCGTCATCTTGACAAAACAAACACACACACGTGGCACAAATTTGAGGTTAGCCGGCAGCAGGCCGGCGGCGGAGCGGAGCGGAGCAGGCACGTCCGCACTCCTCGGCGGTCAGACCAAGAATGCTCGCCTGCCACGCGGGCGGCCCGGGTTCGATTCCCGGCCGATGCAGTTTTGGTTTGTTTGCCTG